TCAAATACTCTTTATTTTTAAGATACTATACCAAAAGAAGGAACAGGCAGAAAGATGTTCATCAGCAACAGTCCCCTGAGTTCTTGTAGTTTACAAAAAAATCTCTGTAACAAAAGCAGACACTAAAAAATACGGTAAGACATGGCAATTTTTGCCTCTGGGACACAGGAAGCACCATCTGACTATGAAAACTTAATAGGGATCAAACAAGATAGAGCTCCTTTCAATTCTTTTCATATTTTTAAAATGAAAGTCTCACTTTCCCTATAAATTCCATTGAAACTTTCCTATAGCTCCAGTGAGGAATGTACCTTGGCTGCAACATAGTTTTGTTTTTTTTCTGGAACTTTACTCTGAAGATTTTTTAGAGTGTCAGAACATTATCAAGAATATTGAACTGACCTAAGTAAATTAAACCAGCACTACAGTAGCAGCCATATCAAACAATGTTACAGAAGAGTGAAGCAGCACTCCAGTTAAGGCAGTATTCTGTAATAAAGTAAATGACAGGCAACATAGATATTAGCACATGAATAGGAAGGTGGATGGAGTATTAACAATGTCAGGTCGAGAAAAGATGTATTGTTCAAATAACTCTCTAAGTGAACAAACTTACTGTTTTGTGAGGGTTTTTTACTCAAAGCACAGTATTGGCAGCAAATGAGAGAGGCATTGGTAATGCTTTGTCCTTTATGTGGTCTCCCGGTGTTAACATCTCTTCTGTTCTTCAGCTGTAAACAAGAATCAATTTCAGTCTCATAGCGAGGGAAGGCAAAAGAACTCATTTTCATGAGCACATGCAGAGAGATCATGTTTTGGTCAACTTTCCCTGCTGTTCATCAACATCAAGAAACCTTCAAGCTGTGCTGAAGTTAGCACTAACCCCAAGTCTCTCCCACCTGGCACCTGCTGGGGTCCTACCCCTGTGGGGACACATTGAGCTCAATGCAGGGGAAACTGAGCTTCTGAATGAAACCTCATGAGTAGGGAGAGAGGTAGTATTTCTCACCTCCTCTGTGGTGTATATTTTCCATAGGTTTGCTTTTGCCTGTGCCCTTCTCAACATGGGATCACTGACCTTTGGGTGTATCTAGGTCCTATAGACAACAAGGCATCAAGTTTGCATATTCTGAATTGCTTGGCGGAGTATCTTTCCATTAGTGGCAAAGGGAGCCAACACACCTAATTTAGGCTTTTTCAGTAACCTGCGATGTCATCTTCAGTATTCTTCTGGATTAAGATTCCTAACTTTCAGGTAAATCCCTACTTCAGCAGAATTTAGGCAGTTTGGTCTTTTAAAACCTAGTTTTTAAACCCTTTGCCATTTTACCTCTTGGCGTCCCAACAAGCTGAGATAGAGGTCCACAAAATACCATGGGATTCCATAACAGAGTGGCTTAGCAACCTGAAGGAGAGTCCTCACCTTTAACTGAAGCAATGTCTAGTCATTCCCTTTGAGATGATTTGAAAGTTTAGGTACAGATACACAATTCTGCACAATCTAAGCATAGCAAGTTGCCTTTTAAACCAAAAAGGGTATAAAGTAATGAATTTTACCTTATGAAAGGGCAATCTAACAAAGCATTGTGACACATACTAGAGGTGGTCACATACTGAATTTCAGTTTGCTCATTACCAGCTGTTACCTAAATCCAGCTTCTGAGTTTCTGTATATCAAGAATCTCAAGCTGTAGTTCCCCACATGCCACTTTTCTTATTGACCACATTTCACACATTCAAGTTTGAATATGATGGTCTTATAACTTTCTACTGGATTTATTGTCACTTCAGAAACATGGAAAAATGGGGAGGAGAATTTGTAATACATTATGAAAGTCGTACATAACATCCAAAATTCAGAGATACAGCCCTCACCCCAATGCTACAGACAACGTAAAATGATTTTCAATAGTGCATAAAAGTAGAGATTGTGCTTTTCACTCTAATCCAGGCAAGCAGATTTGTGATCACACTGGATGTTCTGTGGGGGCTGTATGCTTCAGTGGGGGCTGGAATGGGACAAAAGTCATAGGGTTTGGTTTTTTTGAAGGAGAGAGAATAGGCTAGGGTAAGGTGGTGGTAAATGTCTTGTTGGCCTAAGAGGAAACATATTTACAGCTGCTTGGAGATTCCTTGACAGTAAAGCATGTGCCAGAACAAAGATCTAGGCAGCCTGGTAAAAGGAGAACTTCAGGTGTTCCTGCAGACAGAAACAATATAGGAAGAACCACCAACAACTATTAGATCACACTAGGTCAAAGCATTGACCTAGTTAATTGTAGTTTAGCTTTCAGCAACAGAAATAATAAAATATTCTGTTGGTTTTATTCAGGAGTACTTTTAAGGTGAAAAGCGACCACTAGATTATAAATCAATTGTGAAGAATTTTGTATCTTGCACTTAAAAAAACCATGCTTTTGTTGGGATTGATTTGTTTGTTTGACCATAAGAGTAGATGTGTCTTTTGCTATCCATAACAGTCTAACATCTGAATTTTATCCAGTGGACAATCACAGTTTAATCAGCTACTTTTGCTGGAGGTTGCATTGTCTGTTGTAAACTTTGTTTCTCATAATGCCTTAATGTCACTAGCTTGAAGCACATAGTAGTAGTACTTGCTGTTGTATCCCTGTGATGGTACTTACACAGTGTAATCTTCTCACCTCTTTTCCTGAAAAGCTGGATAGATTGGGCACCTGAAATCTCTCCCCAGAGAGGAATTACTTCAAATTGTTTTTAGGATTTCTTTCATAACCTTCTCTATTATTTCAACATCCTTCTTAAAATGCAGATACTAAAACTGGACTGCTTCCAGTATCTGCTTCACTGGTGCTTCATGCAGAGAGAAAATCACTTCCCTACTCCTATTTGTTATTCCTCTGAAATGTCTGAGAATAGCTGCATCCTCTTTAGGCCCCTTTTCCCTTGGAGTATAGCATGATTCCTTCCTACTCTGACGCCCAAATCCCTCCTTGTGTGCAGAGTAAACCCCAGTCTTCCCAGTTCTGCTCCAGGTGGCCAGCAGTTTTGGTCACCTGGATTCATATTTTTGCATCAAGCTCTATTAAAACATGTTCTGTTTCAACTAAGCTCGTCTTATCTGGTCCTTCATAGGTGTAATTAGAATGTCATGTAGCACTGAATAACACCCTTTTCAAAAACCTGTTGTGGCCATGGCTGTGTAACTTCACCAGCCACACCGAGAGTTTCCTCACAAACCCATGAATCATGTTGGCTTGGCAGGCCACTTCCCATAAACACAAACTTCATCCATACATTGGAGTTTTTTCTCTCTTGTTTTTCTTGGGGTTGGTTAACATTAAGCCAAACAGCCTGTAACTACCTGGTCACCATAATCAGTTTCTCTGGATCTTCTCAGGAAACTGAATGCCCAACCTGTCAAGATTTTCCTGTTGTGCCCAGATTTACTTGTAGTAGTGTTAGAGAGATTGTTATTCTCTCCACCTTCCTGCCCACTCTTTTGGGATTCATATGTGCCATTTTTCTGGGTCTGCTGTTTTTTTTTAATGTTCTGAGGAGATGCTGCTGCTTCTCTCTGTTATGAGTCAATAATCTGGCAAACATGTCCTCCATTTCCTTCCAAATATGAACATGAAATGTTTATTGATCATTTATACCTTTTTTTTTTGAGGGCTTCTTACTCTTCCAAATATATATAGGCCTTATTTGCCATAGCCCACCCAGGGCTTTTTCTTCCCTCATAAAATCTACACACTTTCCAGTTAATGCTGATTGCAATCAACGTTCGTCTCTCAATGTTAGTTCTATGTGGTATTTTTTTTTCTTCTCAGTTGCTGGTTTCACTTCTCCAGCAATGAGCTTTCAAGGAAAGTTGTCCTCTTGTTTGACAGCAGACTTTTTGGCAACCTACTGTATTTCCTGTAAACTTCTTTATTTCACTCCTGTATTCACCTGTACATTTTTCTCTCAAATTTTTTCCAGCATCTGAGTGTGTAAATTATGGTAAAGACTGTCATCTGTTCACCTACATCAGTGGCAGCTATGAACATAAAATATAAACAGGCAAATCCTGACACTAGTGAGGTACTCAGGAAGGGTAATTCTAGCAGCAGACGTTAATAACAAAGGGGCTGAAGCAGGCAGGATCTATTTATTTTGTGCAACATACTTTTGTTACTGAACATACTTATAGAAAAGCAGAACTTTTGCTACTTGCTTGCACTGTGATAGACAGAGTCAGTTGTGGTTTGACCTTCTTGAAAGGCATCCAAGTCCTGGCCAAAATTCTTTTGGGGTGTTTTATAACAAAAAATTCCCCAAATCTGTATTTTCACTGAGCCAAAATTAAACTATTCCTTTCTGCCCATGTCCATAGAGTATTCCCAGAGAGTGGCTTTGTCATTCTTTGAGGTTTCCCTTTTGAGGTTATCCATGTACCTTTGAGTCACACACTCGATTTTGGTAAACATGCCTGTCATTATCAGCCAAAACCGTATAGGAAGTAATGTTTTCAGTTTGTGTTTTAAAGCTTGATACAAAAGCAATTATCCATCCCTCTGACCTGAAACATAAAGTAGTAGGAGCTGCGTGGCATAATTGCACTATAACGTTCAAGTTATAATAGATAAGGCTTTCTAATTCATCCTGCAGAGGTCAGAAAGAGAGCCGGGCAAAATAAATCCAAGTTAAAACCAGGAATCGGAGTGTGACCGACTTAATCCTCAGGGAGAACCTGCGGCTTCTCCGGACCCGCCTGCAGGTGGCGCTGCGGGCGCTGCGAGCGCTCCTCCCGCACCCCGGGGAGCGCAGCGCAGCCCCGCCGGCGGGACGCGCCGGGCCTCCGCAGGGGCCGGGCACGGAGCGGGAGCGGCACCGCGCCTTTGTGCCTGTGGAAACATCCCCCCTCCTCTTCTCTTCTCTCTTCTCCTCTCTTCTCCGCGCCTTACCCCGCCAGCCCGCTGGGCTGCCAGCAGCGGCGAGGGAGGGGAGAAAGGGGCAGGAGGAAGCTGAGGGAGAGGGGAGGGCGGGGACGGGGCGAGCGCGAGGAAATCAAACGGGCCCGGCATGAATTAGGCAGTGGGGAGAGCTCCTTCCCGCTGCTTCCATCCCTCCTTCTCCGTTCCCGCACGGCGGGAGCAGCGCCGCCCCGCGCGGAGCGGGTGCGTGCACACACCACACGCACACACACAACCCCCCCGCACACCACACGCACGCACACCGCCGAGCCCGGCGGGGCGGGCCGGGCCGGGCCGGGCTGGGTTGGGGCGGGGGGGGGGCCGTCAGATGAAGATGGCAATGTCTGTGATCCAAGCGTGCCGCAGCCTGGCTCTCTCAACATGGCTGCTGTCCTTTTGTTTCGTGCATCTGCTGTGCCTGGACTTCACCGTGGCCGAGAAGGAGGAGTGGTACACGGCCTTCGTCAACATCACCTATGCCGACCCGGCGGCCGGCAGCGCCGAGCTCCGCAGCGAGAAGAGCGAGTGCGGGCGCTACGGCGAGCAGTCGCCTAAGCAGGACGCCCGCGGGCAGGTGGCCCTCTCCGCCTCGCCCGCAGACCGCTACGCTTGTGACCCCGGCACCCGCTTTAACGCCCCGGCGCCGGGTAAGAGCTGGGTGGCCCTCATCCCGCGGGGCAACTGCACCTACAAGGACAAGATCCGCCACGCCGCCGCCCAGAACGCCTCTGCCGTGGTCATCTACAACGTGGGCTCCAGCAATGCCAACGAGACCATCACCATGCCCCATGCAGGTGAGCCCCGGCACCCTGCATGTGCTCCGTGGGTGCACCCCGAGATCTGGGCTGGGTGGACAAGTGGGCCCTGTTTTACTGCATGTGCAGCCTGCTTTGCTGCCCCATATCCTTGGGATGGGAGCTGATGGGGGGGAATGTGTTCTCACACCTCCTGGCAGGGAGCAGGAGAGGCTGTGGGCCTCGCTGAGCAGTGGGTGCCCATCCTGGGGGCTGTGGAGCACCTCTCCATGCTGCCATGGCAAAGGATGAATGTGCTGCTGGAAGCAGAACGTGCTTGGTGCTCCAGGGGTGAAAAGTTTGGGAGACGTAAAGTTTTGGTGTAGTCGGAGGAATGGATGGGACCCTGAGCCTGCTGTGGGGCACGGATGTTTTGTGGTGTCCTGAGGGTCTTCCTCAGGCAGGTGCTGTGTGGGATCGGGTGTGATTCAGATTGAGACCTTTGGGAGAAAAGCATAGTGTTTATGGTGCAGGCTTGTCAGGATGTGCAATAGAGCAGGGAACACGGTGTCCACTGTCCTGCCTGTGATAGTGTTAAAACTGTGGGATCTAGTAGGGATGCCAAGTATCTGATTTGGTGAGAACATGAGGTATTTTGTCCAGGTAGCTTGTTGGGGAGGATGTGGAGGGTGTTCACTCCCCCAGGTGAATGCTCTGTTGGAGTTTGTGTTCGAGTCCCAACATGCGCTCGTCAACTAGAACCAAGCAGCGATCCACCACGGGAAACAACCCAAACCTCGTGTTGTGCCCACCAAAAAACACCACTGGTTTTGTAACAGTGTTTCATCTGAAATAATGTTGTTTTAGAAACAGATCACCAGATTTGTATTTAGGGATGGTGTTTTCTGCAGGGGTCACTGGTCTTTTATAGCAGCAGCCTATGCCATGTAGACTAAAATGCCACCTATTGTGAAATCTCTGTTTGGTTTGCGTCCAGTAACTTATCATGCCCAGCTGTTTCACGCTAGTTGAATCTTAGCAGAGTTGGGGGTAAATTGAAACACAGAAAGGCTGCAAAACAGGATGTTATTCTAATGACATTTTAAATTTCCACAATAAACCAAGCTAGCATGAATGTGCTGAAAAAACATTTGTTGCCTAACTATAGTGCTATAATACTGCTGATGCAAAAGAAGTGCTTCTGGATCCTCTTGTGTGCAGCCTCTTTAAGAGATTAACCATTTATTTGGGCAAAGTCATGCCTCTCTGGTAGGTTTGGTGGAAAATGAGATTTTTTTTTTAGTGTTTTCCAATGGTTTTGTGAGACAAGCAACTCGTAACCTCTCAAGCTTTTTAAAACTCTGCTTTATAATCTGCACATGGTTTAGTAGCTGTTCAGAGTATACTTGTTGGTACTTTAAGTGTCACAGATTATATACTAAGTAGTATAAAGTAGTAGGAGCTTGGCATACTTATGCACCCTTACAGTAAAGCTCAGTCTGTTTCAAAAGTTAAGATGCATTGCTTGTTCTCATCATAGTGAGTTTCTCTAGAACTGCCAACATGTTGGATCAATTAATGGTTTGCCTGTTTCTGAAGTATTCACTGAGCTGGTTTCCCACACAAATGGTGTTTTATTAAGAAACAGTGGGAGTAAAAAATGTGTGTAACCTTTTAAAATGTTGGTGCTTTTGTTTGTTTTAAAGTCTAAAATGAAGTAAGCAGGGAATCTTTCTTACTGAAGTGGCCTCAGCCTTTGAAAATACGAAACACTCTATCACTTATCTTGGGGGCAGCTTCATTTATGTCAGATGACTCCTTATAGCTTATTCTGAGAATCCTTTTTGAGTACTGAATTGATACCCAGCAGTGTGATTGTACAGTACCAGAGGCTGAAATGAAAGGAAACTTGCAGAAAATCATCCAGACTTGTTGAACACAGTCGGTGAGACTGAAGGGCTTTGCTGGTTGATCGTGTGAGGTTGTCTTCGATTTAAGGATTTTTGTTCTGTGGAGTTGAGAAACCTTAGGGAAAAACCTACATTCTGCAACAGTCAAAACTCAGCAGAGTTTTACAGCATAGGTCTGCTGAAACAGGAGGAAGAATAATTATTCATAAACAAATATTTGACAAACTACCAGGGATTAGAACTGGATTTATCTTTACTCTTCCACCATTACACAGGGACAGAGTGAATATACAAGCTGTGTAAAATTATCTTTCTGACTTGCAGCCTTTGGCGTTTGCTTGGTCCCAGTCTAAACGATAGCACAGCACAAGATTCAAGGGAAGAATGAATCAGTTTCTTGGTTCTGAGTTCAGCAGCATATGCAGTGCTCTGCCCACGCCAAATCCTGGAGTGGGAAGAAGAAAATTCCATCCTGGAAAATACTTGGGGGATGAGAGAGAAGGGTGAAATGTGACCTAAAAAGCAATTTAAAAGTTGAAAGAAATATGATGTTACTCTCTCTCTTTCCCTTTTCCTCCCACAGATTTTTTTTTTTTGAGGTTTCATATAAGCTTAAATAAACTCTTTCTATAGAGAAAACAGTATATCCTGTTGCATAACAGTGTGGCTCCTGCCCTTACTAAAGAACTATTACTCCAAAGAGAGATGTTTTTCCTTCTGTACATTCTTCTCTGTATGCTTCACCGCTCTTGCTGATGTTTTTTTTTTTTTATCTGTGTTTCTTTTTCTGCTGTTCCCACCCCCACTCTGATTTCTTCATCTCTACCCCTTCATTCTCCCTCTTGACCATGTTACTGTGCTACTCTTATTTTTGCCCTTGACACTTTCTTCCCAAAGCTCTCTTTCTCTTGCCAAAAACCTTACCTCACAGCTGTATGTTTAATTATATTTCCTGTTTTCTGCTACAATGCATGCCAATGACCCTTTGCTAACATGATGCCTGCTGATTTCAAAATCTATAAGTAACTGCAGCAAGACACCATTCTTGAATTTGGAGGAGGGTTGGTAAACCTCCCTGCCCCTGCAACACCCCTAAGCAGAACCAGGGTGGTATTACATCAAAGCCTGTGGTTGAAATACTCAAATACAACTTTCCAGGATTTATTTATAGTGCACCAGACAAAGTGTACAATTTGAACCAGTTCAATCACCGTTTTTAAAGCCTTTGCTTTCAGGGAGCTTGTGCTTAGTTCACTGCTTGGACATCCAGAAGTGAGGTAGAGTTGTGACATCTGTGCTCACAGGGAATGCCGAGGTCTGTGGTTCTCGTGCTAGGGCACACTTTGCTTTTGCATCAGCTGCTACAGCCTTTGCAAGCCGGCAACTTTATTTTTATTGGCTTGAAGTCTAGGAGCTGTGAGTCCAAGTTTGCTTTTTAACTAAACAGGGTTTAACCAGAGAAGGAATAAAAGCATCTAGAATTTCTGTTCCAGATGCTTTTTATTTTTCCTAAATCAACTTTGCTAGCAGAAAAGTAGTCTAATAATATAGAGGATGCTGTTGTTTTTTTGTTTTTTTTTTTTCTCTAGAAGAATAATCCATGGTGTTGGCTAGGGTTTCTGATTGGCATTTGTTCTTATTCAGAACAAATTAGCTGTTATTTACATTTGAAAAGGCTCTAGCCACTGTGTGTACATTTAATAACTTAGTATTAATTGGAAGTATTTTTATTACCTGTTGTAGCACATCCTAACACTTCCTCTAAGCTCTGAATAGATACAGTAATGGAGCCTTCCAGAAGGTGATTAAAGGTGAGGGCTTCCCTCTCTCCAGCTCTTAATTTGAGGGGACCCCTTCTAACTTGGGCACCAGTCAGGTGCTTGGGACTAGGGAAGGATGTTAACTGTGACTGTACACATGATTCCTGTGTGGGTAAAAATCAAATCTTTAGTATTCAGTACAGTTTGAATATTCTGGTGTGCTCCAGAATATCTCACAGAATGGATATGATCCCTCAGTGACATGGTTTAGTGGTGGTGTTGGTAGTCCTGGGGTAATGATTGGACTTGATCTTGAAGGTCCTTTCCAACCTAGCTGATTCTATGATTCTATGATTTTATGAATATTATGTGAATTAAATTGCATCCTCAGTGTTTTGCACCAGAAGCATATGTGCGTCAGGCAGTTTTGCACTCTCCATATTCTGCTTTTCCAGTGCATGCCATCACAGATTCTAAGTCACATGCTGCATGTATGACAGCCTATCTTCAATGAGAGGCAGATGCCTCATTTTTTGTAATGGCTTGTACACACTGGCAGCAACTGTCAACTGCATCTTTGAGACATGAATCTCATATGTGGTCTGAGATGAGCCTGACTTCTTCCCTCCCTCTTTGGCCCTCAAGTGCAGCGTGTGTGTGCCAGATTGCAGAAGGAGGGCATGGCATCCCACTGCAAAAACAGGTGTGTCCCTCCACACATGTTGTGAACTTGGCCAGCCTTGATCTGTGCATGTTCAGTTCAATAAGTTTCTTCCCTTGCACTCAGATTTTTGTTCCATGATCAATGACTAGTCTTGCCTTTGACATATTTTAAGATGCATTGGTAGTTTTGGCTGGGGGCTCCCCTGTAGTTTTGTACTGGTGTGCAAATTAAACACTGGAGTTGAAGATTTTTCTCTTTACAGACAAAATTCAGTACTGTAGCTCCTTTACTAAAACAATTGTTTCCCTAAACTTTTGTCATATTCTAATGAAGAAAATGTGCTGACAGTATTTACATATGGATAAGTGTGAATCAAGGGCTGGAGATTTCAAGGCTTCCAGGGCCTGCCATAATTATTTTCTGTTCCAGGCATCCAGGACTCATTCCTAATAGAAAACACCTCAGTGGGGGAAGGAGATGGAGATTTGTGCATCTATGAGCCTCATCCATTATGAAATTGAGGTATGGCTGGGATGTGCTGCCATCCTTAGGATCTTGAAGGAGCTCCTGGATCCATCATGGATGGCTTTCAGTAGTTTTGGAAAAATCTGGTTCTCTATCAAAATCAAGGATTTATATCACTGGCTAGAGCCAGCGGTAGTGCCAACAAAGCTGTCCCGCTGTGTTTGCTAGTGAGACACACTTCTGCCTACTGGTTCTGCAGTG